CTTAGTTCTACTGTCTTCTTCTTTTAATGAACAGTGGGCTCCATCGTTTTGTCGATGATTTCGCAAACGTCGACGATCATGCCGAAAAAAGTTCCCTCCTTGAACGGCTAATCTTATTAATATTATCAATGCAAATGTTTAGATAGATGGATTTTGTTTCAAGGTATCTCTAGAACCGCTGAACGGATCCCGATACATTTGGCATATAGAACACAGGCTGGAAGAACGCATAAGCTACTTATTATGTTTTTTTTAATATAAAAAATGCCAAATACAATAGTAATTTTTATGTTCGGAAAGGATTAAGATGTTTTCTTACGATTAAAGTAATTTTCCACGAAAAATTTATCCGCATTGCTGCGTAAGTCGAAGTTGTATACATGTTGCTTATAGAAGACAAGACATAGTGACGTGGCTATGTGCTTAGTGCAAAAGAGGTTTTAATGTTAATGCAGGTACATAAAAAGAGCTTCTTAGAGCATGTAACTTACGTCATATATTTTTTATTGATGTTAACGAACGCAGATTTGTATTCTTAATCTTTTGATTCTGACAACGATGGAATATTATTTTGGGAATCCCCATAAATGGTGTTTCACCATGTTAGGCTGTTTCTAGTTTTTAAATTACATTCTTATAGCATTCCGTGTTTTTTTTGTTAGTAAAAGTGAATCATGATTGTCCTTTAGTTCATTTTAAAGATAGACACGTCAAATTATTAATTTTAATTCTTTATATTACGACAACAATAAGTTGTTCATATTTCCATTGAGAAAAAATATTGTGAAACATATTTTTATCTCTTTTTTTTTAGAAGTATGAAGGAGATGACAATAAGTTTTTGTACCCGTTTCGTCAGTGGAAACCCATATCAATAACGTAAGAGTTTACGACGACAGCAAATTTTAATTCAACCACATTTTCATACAAATCATGAATTTAATGTATAGTTATTAATGCATGACGTTTGTGACCTTTTTTTACAATTTGCCAATACTATTATCATTTTTACGTCATTAAAGCGAATTATTACTTTGTTATTTACTAATTGTTTAGCAGTACAATGTTCATTTTGTAGCCAAAATAACTTTTACGTTATATATTATATATCTAGACTTATAAAAACGTGAAGCAAAAAGTTCTACCCCATTTTAAAAGCCGCAACAGATTAACATGATATTAAATTATTCAAACTTTCGTGAGACATTATAGTAAACTGATATATAAACACGGCTAAACACTCACGTATATTCGTCCGGTGGCGGCACCGACTAGTTTCGAGCCCATCGGATTTCGCGGACGCGGCCCGTCGCTCACAATACCAGTACCACTCATCCTGATGAAGGGCCCCCGATGGGCTCGAAACTAGTCGGTGCCGCCACCGGACGAATATACGTGAGTGTTTAGCTTTGTTTATATTTCAGATTAACATGATATTTGACTTTGAAAATAACGCGAATAAAAGTGTAAAAAGCTGTTTTAAATAAAAAAAAATCAAAAATGAATTATGGTGCAATTTCGATCGATAGGCGAACACTTATATTTTATTTCACAACCATAATATATGTCTATAATGACATTTATAACTTTGATTACTTGATCTAAGTTGCTATTAAAACTATGTTAGTCCTTAAAATAAACTCGAGTTAAACCTGAGTTTATCTGATTAAACAAGATTTAGCGATATGCTAATTTCATTTGTCGGCATGACCACACCTTTATGTCTTGTATCACGTGTTACTCTTAGTCATGTAAATGGTACATTTTTAATATTTATAACGAGGAAATACAAATGTACTCATTTAGATGCATAAAGGGTAGTACTTACCGCTATCTACCTTGTTATTATAAAACCCAGAAAACTACGCTTGTGTAGTTTAAGTTAAAGAAGTGACAGATAAGTTTTAGATTTATAACCAACTAGCTGTCGCCCTCAACTCCGTCTTTGCAAAATTTAAAAAAAAATCTATTAATATAGCCTAGTTACAGGGGTATAGTGTAGTTTCAGAGTCTTTCCATCATTAATATTATTGAAATGTAATGCCAAATTTCCATTAAAGTGTTATCATCATCAGCTCACTATGACTCCACTGAGGGGCTCGGAGCTTACCCTAAGTTAGGGGTGTTAGACTTGGTAAAAATAGCAGCAAGACTTAGTATCATTGCAAAATGTTGCAAGCAAAATGCTTTATTAAAATTGAAAAATATTTTAATTCGATAATTTAGTTTTTTAGATAAATCTTGTAATCACCACTTTAATAGTAGGTAGGCATTCAGAATAAAGATTAATTATTATTATACTTACATAGATAAATTAGTATTCAAAATGGCGGAAATATGCGTAATTGAACGACGTCAAACGAAAATACATAAAGGACATGCTTTTAATTATTAGACTACTTTGAACTTAACCTTCGAACCAAATGACGTTCTACAGACTAAATGACTGCTTTATAAATAATTAATACTATTTTAAACATTGTAAACATGATTTTCAATTGTCATTACACGTGTAAAATAACATTATTGGCATCTCTGTTTTATTCAAAAATAATAAGCGGGATGGCAATTGTTATAATTGCTTTATTATCATCTTTCTATCTTTCTTCTATCCTATTTACCCTATACCTTATCTTCATATCCTCTTGACTAGTAGTCGCCCGCGGCTCCGTCCGATCAGAATAAAAAAAACTTACCAAATTTCAGGAAGATCCATCCAGCCGTTCTGGACATACCTTTAAATATCCATCCGTTCATCCATACATCCAGACATTCGGATTTATAGTCGTATGATTAGTTCTTCCTCTACCACTGTAGCTATTCATTACAAACTTTCTTGATGTAACTAATTGTTTTTATGTTAGCAAGATTATGTAGATTAGTTAATTGTAACGAAGTCTTAGAGTGGACAATCTGTAGATCGTTTGTTGACCAATGTATCCGTTACTTCACTCAAATGACTTGCCCTATATTGGTTACATTTAATATTTTCTCTATTGAATTTGTATGCGATTTTGTATCCTACTGGTTTGTAATAAGGAGCAAAGTTAGATGTAAATCTGTTATGCATATGATGAAAGTTGTTTTGCTACCGATGTTGCATTTGAATATTTCTAATCTTATGTGATTTTAATTACATATATTATGTTATATTTCAAATGTTACCATTTTGTTCTACTTAAAGGAAATTATACTAAATTACTCATTTCAAAAAAATTAACAGGAATTTGACTAAAACATCGTCTTTAAATCATTTTGCAAATCTTGAGTTTTTTCGGAAAATATTTCGATTTGCCATTGTTTAGGTAACATAATATACTAGCGAAAATGTTCATCTATTGCCATTAATTTCTAAGTTCATTGACATTTAATAATTATGTAAGTTGTAAATAAAATCAAAAGAAAAATTCGACTGAATTAAATTAGTAGCTCTACTCGTATTATGACAAACTCAAATATGTAAATTAAGCATTGAATGCATAAAAATGCATGAGTAATTAAAGTAAATTATTAGTATATTTGGAGCGTCGGTGGCTCAAGGTATCTACGACACTGCTCAACGGATCCTGATGATATTTGGCACAGATGTAGAACATAGTCTGGAATAACACATAGGCTACTTATTAAGTTTTTTTACCATGTGGACGGAGTCGCAGGCGACGCGAGCGGGTATTAGATATTTGTAATATTAAATATTTGTAATATTAAATATTTGTAATATTAAATATTTGTAATATTAAATATTTGTAATATCTTTAATATTACAAATATTTAAGATAAGACAAATTTGTAGTTAATGACTTCTAAATTCTTTGGACCAAATTTAGAAACAAGGTTATGCCATCTACGGCAACTAATAATTTACAAAACTATATTTTGTCTACGTTTATAATAGTATGGTTTTTAACCTTCAAGCTATAAGAATTATGAATAACTAGCTGTAACCTGCGGTTCTGTCTGTGCGGTATTAAAAAACTTGGCAAGTCGCCTCCGTGCACTTCCAGATTATGTTCTGTATTTATGCCAAATTTATTTGAGATCCGTTGAAACGTTCTGGACATACTTTTTAACAAGCATCCATCCGTACATCCATACTTTCGCATTAAATATATGTATGTAAATTATGTGAAGTCAACCAACCCGCACTTGGCCAGCGTGGTTGACTATGGCCTAATCATCCTTAACTTAGGGTAGGCTCCGAGCCCCTCGGAGGGGACGTATAGTGAGCTGATGATGATGATGATGATGTAAATTATATACATATACAGCTTAAAACAATGTTGTCAGATGTATATAAATTTATATATGTGCAGTCAATAATTAAACAATTAAATAGCAAATAGTCGATTGCATATAATTGCAAATTTGTAACAAAATCTTTGACTTTTGCAACATATCTTCCATTTACGTAATTATTTCAAATTAATTGAATATAAAATATGTTTTTGTATGTTTTTAATATTGCTTTATATCATTTAAAAATTAATTGTCCTGAAAATACATAATTTAATAACCATCTTTATGCAAATTAAACAAGCAAGTTTTTTTTAAATATTCCAATGTATAATTTCCTGTTAGTTTTTTCTTCAGTAAAATATTATAGAGGCGAAATATTGTGCAACTCAGGCTATAGTAAATATTCAATTAAATATAAAAAGAATAAATCGATATATCGGGCTCGAAGGACCATATTTTGGTTTAACCATAAAGTTTATAAAAAGAGTTGCTCTTGCGTTCCAGAGACGATTTTACTCATTCCTTTCTTCTTGTTAAAAAGTATGGAAAGTAGATTTAGAAGCAAAAGATCCTTTTTCAGTTCGTTCTCTTCTCTATATTTTAAAAGAAAGGCAATTGTCGGAAACGTCTGTAACTTTTCAACTTCATTGTTGGCTATTATTACCGATATGGGGTTACCAAATTCTTGTTTGCCGTTTTGTATTTTAAAATAGAATCGTTTTACGCTGAGAGTTTTGAATAAAGGATGCGGTTTTTTGTTACAGTAATGGCCGTGTCAGAAGAAACGGATCGTTTACAAACGAAGCAAGGAGGCGACATAACATATTTACATATGGTAGATGAAAGTGATGCGCTCGGGGAATCTCAGATACGAAAACTGTTTGATGGTGCTACAATATTCCTCACCGGTGGTACGGGTTTCCTCGGCAAATTGTTGGTAGAAAAATTGCTTAGGTAAGTACTTATTTGAATTTAGATATTGACATTATACCATTTTATTTGCTTACTAACTGTCGCCCGCGACTCCGTTCGTGTGGAATAAAAAAATAGTTAATAAGTAATAAAAAGTTATGTGTTCTTCCAAACTATTTTCTACGTTTATGTCGAGATCTGTTCAGCTGCTCTGTAGATATCTTCAAACAAATATCCATCCATCTAAACATTCGCATTTTTAACGTTAGTAAGAAATAAGATTCTACAGTCGGTTACAATTGTAATCAAAGCTGGAAATTTTGTAGTCTATGTAGGTACATTTACGTACGTATTTTCTTATCTATAAAGGAAGTTCAAACACAAAAATAATCGCAATACTGGTCAGACTAATAAATTTAAAAAAAACATTTGGAACTAACGCTGTAAATTAATTTAATTATTAAGAATATGCTGAATTTATCCGAGAACATGTTATAGATTAGAATATAACGTTTATATTTTCCGTCTATTTTTTTTATGGTGGGTTTTCACTGTCGAACACGTGCACGCATAGAGATATGTTTTAAAACAAATATGTCTATAGAAGTTCACGGTGAATGCTTAGAACTACACTACAAATGGTATCAAGGATTTTCTAGGTTATAAATTAAATATTTCAACATTAGTATGACTTAAAGGCATTTATCTAAGCAGTTTTATAGCAAACTAATAGTTGCTCTTCGACCTTATGGATCTTTTTTTTAAATGCTAATTTAATTCCGCATACAAAGTCTACTAAAAGTCGCGTCAAAAACGGTCCAACCGTTTCAGAGTTTACTCGAATTAAACGCGGACAAAGACACAATTTTATATTTTTTATTACTTCTTACATAAGTAATTCAAATAATCATCATGTTCTTGAAATGTGACAATGTTATTTTGATATTACGTAGAGATTTAATTATGTAAAGTTAACAAGTTGTACGTCATTCAAAGTTCCACGAAATGATTTCACTATCAATCGTAATTGTAATATAAATCTTAGATTTAACATTGTATCTTAAATTGCAATAAATAGCAAATAAATACGAAACCAGTGTTTTTCCATAACAGAGTATTTCTTGTTTTCTAAGTAATGTAGAGTTACAATCTTTGAGATGAGAGGTCACAATACTAACATGTAGCTATTAATCTACATATATAAAAAAAACTGCTCGTTAGTCTCGCTAAAACTCGAGAACGGCTTAACTGATTTATCTTATCTTGTTATTGAAATTTAGGTTTAAAAAAAAAAGATTTTTTTTTCATTCCACCCGGACGGAGTCGCGGGCGACAGCTAGTATGTCTTATATAATCACGTGATCAGTAATCCTATTTTCCATAGTAGTTGGAAACGGTATCTATGATAATAAATTTGAATAGTCACTTGGATTTTTTTATGTAGAATATTATCAATAGAGTTTAAATCAATATGTCATTTGAATATAAAGATTCGTGTAATTAATTTAAGTTTATCTTTAACATATATAAAATGTTTTAATTTAAACGAATCCGTCAATATTCAAATTAGAAGACGAAAATAAAAAAAATAGAATAAAATAGTGGTCGACCACGATGCTTCTTGGTGTCTTGGCGTGGTGGTCGATGTGTGGAAGATATGCGACAACATAGTTAATGCCTATATATCTTAGTTTGATGTCACCTAGTGTTTAAATTAAAATTTTCAACATACTATTTTACTTGTAAATAAACTTGATGGTCTAGACAACGACGGAAGGCTTCTCTAATTAGATTGCGAAAGTTAATAGGAAAAGGACTGCAAGGGGCAGATCTTTATATTAGTTTATCCTTCAGTTTATATTCTTGTATTTATCTAAAAAACTATTCTAACTAATTAGTTTACAGTAATTAAATATATTTTTGCTTCATAGCTCATGTCTGTACTAGTTTTTACTACGAATGAGGAAAAAGGCAAACAATTTAACAACAAATTTCAAAGCTCTTAAGTCGTGCAGCGTCTCTACGTTGATCTTGACTTTACCAATTTTTAAAAAAAATTTATAATACTTGTTATAGATTATAAATTCTATAACATTAATATTTTACGATCTCAACAACGTAAAACGATAGACAATTTATTAGAAAAAAACTGGATTGCTCTGCCTAAAGGAAACGTGATAAATGAAAAAAGGCTTGTTAAAATTCATCACGTGTTTTGTTTCTATTATATTATAATATAAAACAATTATTATGACTGCTAAATGTGTTTTCTTCGATAAAAAATAATATGTAATTTTTCATACAAGAAACCAAACCGGATGTTATAATTCGCTAAACAAATGTGTAGGACAACACGACTATGTCCAAAGCAAATAACTGTCATCTGTCCACCTAGCATGACAACCTTGAACTTTAATGGCCAAATCAACTCAATTAGAATTTTTTTCGCTACCAAGAAACCTACGAATAACCATGATATCTCCACATATCTTCAGACCTAACCTGTTTGTTTCTTAATTTCTCTATCAACACCGCAATTTATAGAATCATTTTAGGACAATTAATGCATAAAACCTGTCAACATAATACGAATACGTAAGTTATTTTAAATGCAAAATGGTCTATTATTATGAAAGGAAGGTTAGTTTAGCCGATTACCTTGAAAATTAACGGAAGATCGCATTGATGTTGATAGAAAGCTCACTAAAATCGAAGGGCATATTCTTTAGCTTAATCTTACTAATATTATAAATATAAATGTTTGAATCTGAACGGATATTTATTAGAAGTGTTTGTATCCAGAACGGCTGCATGGATCTCACTGAAATTTGAAAGAGGTATAGAATACGTATTATATATAGTCTGGGAGAACATATAGACTACTGCGAATTGCGTCAACAGATGGAGACATAAAAAATCATTCAGCAAACAGAAACTAGCTTTTGCCCACAACTTTGTCCGTAAAGAAATATAAAAAATATCCCAACGTGCATGCAAGATACTTGCATGTCTTTGTTACGGACATGTCTATTAAAATTAATATACGTTTGCTGGGTTTTAATTAAAATTGTTATTAATGCCGGTGCGAAGTGCATCTACAAATCAATCTATGATTTGTAGATGCACTTCGCACTTGGCAATTATGAAATTTTATTAAATATTCACATCGTTGCAATATAGAAAATATTTGCAATCTAAATTTAAATTTGATTTATTATTAAATTTCGATCAATGTAAAATATTATTATGAATCGTGCCAATAAAAACTCATCAAGGCCATCTCGTGAATTTTAATTAAAACTTATAATAAGCTAACACAATTTTTTCAATAATACACTGACCTACATTTTACTATAATACATTCTATTCCACCGTTTTTACGTTAACGGATCCTTGGTACGATTCTCATAGGATTAAAATCGCTTCTATGAATGTAAATTAGATAATTTAAAAAGACTATTTATCTTAAGCTGTCTATACACATACAATTTAAATTGCAGTCGGATTGTGTAGTAACTAACGTATGTAAGCATCATTATAACTGTCAGTCGAACTGTACATTTGTTAGTTTCGACTGCGTATTTAAGTTTTAACTGTACAGTCCGACTGTTCAGTTTAAAGTAAAGGTGTGTTGCCTTTAGGATAGGTACTATGAACACAAAATAATTGTAGTTAAAATAAGGGAGCATGTTTTAAAAGCAAAGAAGTTATTAACACTTTCTAGATGACTCTATGTACATCAGTCGGATCTTTTTAAGAGGCACAGTATGAGAAATTTAAACTGTTCATTCGTTATTGTAGACTAAGTGACCGGAACGGATCAGCAATTGCGGTTGCTTTGACTTTCGCTCTTTCGGCGAAATCAGTTGGCCGTTTGTTCGTTTACAACTATACAATATAAAAAAATTAAACGACACGTGCGGTATTTAGTCTCTACCCAATGTTCTTTTGTTTTTTTTAATGTTCCTTCAAATCTTAATCTTACTAATATTATAAATGCGAATGTTTAGATGGATGGATAGATGTTTGAATCTTCAGAACGGCTAAAAGGATCTCGATGGAATTTGGTAAACATATAGAACATAGTCTGGAAGAACATATAGGTTAATTATGTTTTTATTTAATTACGCGCAGACTAGACTGCGGGAGACAGCTAGTACAAGATGAACATAATTAGTGTCACAAATTTGATATTATTTTTATTTATATTTAACAATTTATTATTGGTACTTATTATATTAGAAGCCAGGGTTATATTTTGTTAAAAATTAGATAAATTCAATTTAATCATCTCGATATGATATACGAATTATAATCGCGCTCAATGCCATTTTAAACATTCTATGTTGTATCATAAAACACATTTGCAAAAAAAAAACAAAGCTGAACAAATGTATTAAAACTTTACATTTAATATAATAGTTAGACATCCTTGACGTTTTTTATTATAAATATGATTCATATGCTTGTTGTCTTCAAGCATGTCTTTGAATGTCTTCACCGATATATGAAGTTTGCATCGCAATGTTTTCCTTTACCATAAAAATGTCCGGTTGGAACCCGGACAGTTTATGGTTCGGTCCGGTCAGATGCGCAACAACTCATCGCTTTAATTATATTTCAAGCAAGAAAAAAAAAATATATTTTTTTTAATTATTCGAAGTTTTTTATAGTTTATAGGAGGAGTATATCCTTGCTTGCTATAGAGGAAATATTCATTTTTTACTCTAATATTGCACTGAGTTTCCATTATCATAATGCATAGCCCCAATATTGTTATCCTTTTTCTTTTCTTTGAATAAAATAGAGATAACAATATGTTCTTTGTATAGATTAGTTGAAGTAGCGGTTGCTTTACATAAATAATTGTGGTTCCGCATTTTTCATTCCATATTTAAACTATTTCCAATAACTATGCAATCATATTGCAATCAAGTCTAACAAGATTCTTGAATGGCTATTAACAATGTTATTTCTAATACCTCCTATCTTTGTTTAATCAGGGATTCTTTGATATTATTATTATGAATCGTTAACTAAAA